CTTGCTTCTTGATTTTTGTTCCATCGTCGGATCGGTCGATTTGAAGCTCTGCCGTCCGTTCACCCAGAAGCTCTTCAATAAATCCCGCAACGTGTTTGGACATATCGAATTTGGTGTGCAGTAAATTGTGCATGATAAGCACGAGTCCGCTCGAAAAGGCGATTTTTGTGCTGAAATAGTATTTGAGTAATCGATCGGAGAGTTGCAAACAATGGAATTTCATCGAATTCATTTGATGGGTAATTTTATCATGATCGACCAAATCAACGAGATTGTCTGTTTGAAATTGGCATTTGATGCAATCAAATTGCTTGAAGTGGCCTCGAATGTGATCGAAATACTTGTCGCTGTCGACTATCGATCGGCATGGACAAATCAGATATTCAACGTCATCATAAGCTCCAACCGCCACACCCAAACCTTCTTTTGGGTGCTTAACAGAACGATGTTGGGCCAGTTCATCGATGGTGCTGAAGATTTTCACACACAAATCACAATATCGCCGCCGAATATCAACATTCAAGATGCCATTCAGTGCGTCATCGTCCAAACAAAGTGGATTGAAATCATCCACTTGCAAAAGCAGCTCGTGTTCAATTTCGAAATGGCCCAGTAATGGTTCATCTGAATATGAGCACAATGCACATTTCCTGCGGTCCGCTTCGGTCACAATCACTATCGACTCGTTAGGATGGTCGATGCGTTGATGCTTCAGAATCATTTGATACGAATCGATTTTATCGCAAAAGTAGCAGGCCACATTTTCGGCCACACTGAATTGGAACGGCATGGTGGTCGAGGGACGACGATGTGAAACAATCCAATGAATATAAACATCTTCGATGCGTTCGTAAGTTGATGACTCGGTTTGGTTCGATGTTGCGCAATGAAAGCAGCTGAACGACAGGTTTTTCAGATGGATCTGATGAGGCGCCCCTTGATCTGATTAAAGAAGCCAAAAATTATAGTGGTGGAAAAGACCAAAAATATTTATAAAACGCCAAATGTTCAATCCATACCTAAACCAACTTCAAAATCGATTTTTGCCATTTTAAATGGATTGGCCATTGCGTCAGGTCCATGGTTTGAGTCGGACTCTGGTTTTATTTTTCTCGAACTGCTGGAACTAACCACTGCCACTTGTGTATCCGGCGATACCCTCTTTCTTTCCGATCTGTGTTTCTTCGACACACGTTTAGTGTCATGTGACCTCTTGGGTCGTAGCTTATGCTTGTCCGTCTTGGATTTGTTCAATCGTTTAACCTCTTTGTGGGGCTTTTGCATCGATTTTCCATCCCAAGAGTTTTTCGTGCGATTCTTCACGGCCTTGCCTTCAACCCGAATACCTGTATGGTTGCTGTATCGTTCTTTATTGATGTCGAAGACATTGTTCAGGTCATATGTTGCCATCAAACTGAAATTATTCGACAAAATTTGTTTGTTTTTGGAATAAATTAAGAAGACAATCAATGTTGTTGTATGAACAGCAAACCATATCGACGACCTTCAGTCTGGCTATGGTGAATACTTTAAAGAATGCAAACAAGTCAATAAATTTGTCGGAAGCCATAAAATGATTACCGTTCATCAACACGACTCATGAAATATTTTCGAAATTCACTGTTGAATTCCAGGCCACATCCATGTAGGGCATTCTCGATCTTGGCCAATGAAGTGGCTGTTTCACGTCCAACTCGTTGAAGATATTCACTCAATTCGTTTTGCCAATTGGATTCCATTTTAGCTGTGGATAGACGTACAGGGAATTATGGACTTGAAGTAATGCAATTAGACAGAGAATGAAGGCAGAGGTAGTACACACAGTATCCACTAAACAACACTTGGTGTCATTAGCTGTGGCTCACATTTTGCTATTTTCAGAGTTTGCGTTGAACTGTAATGGACCGTCGACTCGACGGCGTCGAGTACCAAAATGTTTCTCTGTTGTCCGCACCTTTGTGTCTTTGAGCAAATAACAAAGTCGATAAATTCCAACACAATTTCGCCCGTGGCCAGAATGTATGTGCTGTCAATCACTCGAAAATGTTGGTCAAACTAATTGTATCCTTGTTTATCCTTAACATCAAACACTATCGTGGTGTTTTCTCTCTCAACAGCAATTATAAATTCTTTTTAATCCAACAAAAATAAATCCCAAATTTATGGAACAACAAAAACACTGACCAAATTTAATATGTGTGAAGTCATCGCTTCAAAGCAATTATGTGAATACTTTTTGGCAATTAGCTATCGCTTGGGATGTAATACTCAAAACGCAGACAATTGAATGGCATGCAGAGTAAATCTCACTGATCCAACAGTATAAATAGAACTAAATGTTGTGCAAATCCCTCAGTCAAGCGCTCTACTGTTTAAATTGTGAATTTGATAGTTTCACGTTAAATTAGCCAATAATAACATGTATCGCAAAAAAGCGCGAATTCATGTTTGACATTGACACTTGGTTCGCTGATGTGAATGGCACAAATTCAACTTATGTCTGTGTTCGATTCTTGGAACTCACCATCGAAGAGAATGAATGTGTGTTGCAGTCAGCAACAATAACAGCATGAAATGCATTGGTGTATGTGGCCGAAACTTTTTGAAATTGAGTAGAGTGAGACAGGTGTCTCAAATACAAATCTGATATTGTATGTGAAAAGGTGGCAACTTACCGTACAAATGACGAAAGCCTTCTCTTTGGCAATACATTTAGTCTGGACATATTATGCATTAAAAAATTAAGAAAATCCCTCTTTTTCACTTATTTCCACCAAATAGTTTTTTTGGTGCGTGAAAACTAAGCAAAAAAAAACATTTTGTTTATCCCACTGAATGTGAATAAACCTAATGTGATGCAAGGGCAGCCAACTTAGTAGTACAAAAATGACGCGTACCGTGTGTCAGCCAATGATTTGCTTGACGTTTACAATTGGAACAGTGAATCGCTCTCTTTCATCGTGTACAACACACGAAGACGGTCACAAGTATAACGACGGCAAGCAGAAAAAGAAACAAATTAAAAGACACCGAATAAATAGTGTGCAATCCAAACCGAAAGGGTGAGTCATTGAACACATTTTTGATTAATTTATTGCATGAAAAGATCATCAAAATCTTGATTTGGATAAAAGTTCCATCGAATCAAATGAGAGCGAACTGATTGATATTGTGTTGTGCAATGTAAATGGTAGAGTTTCATAACCTCAATATTTCTTCAGTCGATTATATCAGTACTTGGTAGCATTTCAATTGAAAACTATTATTTGTATTGCCTAAATTACGAATTGACATTTAAATATTCGGCTCTCTTTGTTTGGTTCATAAATTGGATGCATACATTTGATTGCTATTGACAGTTGAGTTTTTCTTTTCCATTCAAGCTACCACCATGAAACCATTTGCCAGCAAAGGAACGAAAGGCAAGGCCAAACGCGAATGTAAGTGCAAGGCAAATTGTTGGCATATGGAAATCAAAGAGGAGAGCATCAAGCAAGAGCCGGACGATAATGCACCGCTGATTGTACGCCTGACAACATCATTATCGACCGAAGCCAGTGTCAATGTTAAATCGGAGAGCGAGAGCGATAGCGAGGTTTTGCGCGATGACGTTAAGGAGGAAATGGAATGTGATGGGGATTGTGTGAAGAAAGAGGGCGACACGAAGAAAGGAGCAGGTTCAAGTAAGGATGCCAATGATGATCAAGGCGATGGTGGCTTAGATAATGTTAATGGTGAACAACACAAACGTCGTGCGAAAGTCAAGGGACCAAGAAGAGCAAAGAAAAAGAACAAAACCAAATCAACGAAAAAGCCAACGGGAAAGATTAAGAAGTTGCATCGTTGTACTTTTTGCGATTAT